TAGCATGTTCACACATGCAATAATGTCATGGCTTGGCTTATGTCATAAGAAGTGTGATTTAAGTAATCAGTAATCAATTCACCTCATCTGAAACCTAACCTGTCTGTTACTTTGTTGGTTTTCTTTGCATTTAGTTTGGTGAAGTCCATCATCAGGGGCACTGGGACAAAACAGCTGGCAGGCAGGCACCCCACTGGTTATCACCTACTAACTATTTATTAATTTAAAAAATGTAATTAACTGTATTTATCTTTTTTTGGTCTGATCGTGTGATCAGTAGTCTAATAGGCTTCAGTGTTAACAAATATGCATGTATGCCCCTTTTTTTGGTACATTCACAGAGCATTCAGGCTGTACCAGACAAGAAGTTGGCATTTTTCATTTACAGTGGCATTAAGAGCACTTCCTCCTCTGCTTTAGGAGAGCTAAGGATTACTGACAATCAGAAACACCAGCAATGTTTTGCTTCAGATGTGGATGTCTCAAACTGTGCAGCCACAGCCAGAAAACTGGTGGAAAGTTGTATAGCTAAGAAGGCCATTCTGTAGCACACCATTTCATGTTTCAGAGCTGAAGGAAACAAATGAAGAAGTATGAATGACATTCATTTTATGAATGCAATCAAAGCAATCACAACAGGCAGTGTCTGGCCTGTGAAAGTCAACTGACTTTAGACAGGTTCTTCAGAGATTGATATATAGAGAGCTGATACACAGAATATGCTGAAAAATGAAACTGAAGCTTAAATTGTAAGCCCTAAAATCAGCAAATAGTCCGAATTTCAAATGGAATTTATGATGTTTTGCCTTTCTGGTTTTTTACTGTTAAACACTGGGCCTGAAAACAGATAAAAATAGGACTAAATAAAAAAAAGTAATTAAAATAATTAATTTTAGAGACTTCTCTACTTCTTAATGAAGATAAAAGGTGAATGCTAAACACATTTTTGAGCTTCTAGTATTTACTACTGCAATTAAATTATTGCCATTACATTAATAGTAACAGCCACAGGGCAATAGTTTCTTGTTAAAATTGCCATTTCCACATTCTTTTTCAAGGAAGAAATTTGCTTAAGTTCCACAGAGGAGAGGAAAACATACAGTTTGCTCCTTTGTATTATCTCTTTCCCTGTTTCTCTACGAAAGAATTCAACCACACCTGAATTATCCAATAGAAATAATACACAGATGTAACAGGAGAGTCAGTCTGTGTACCCCAAACATTATGATCAAGCCTATCAACTACATTATAGAAGAGTTTACATTTGCTGAATTGTTATGTTCTGTTTTAGAGATATCTTTTCATCACTGAAGAAAACTTCAAAAGATTTTAGGCTTTGACCTATCCAGGATAACTTTCAAAGTCTTTCATCAACCACTGAAACTGGATTAGCATCAGAAAATATTTAACAGTCTCTACCTGATTAAAGAAGAAACTGAGGGACCTCTGGCTTAGCAAGAATCTATAAAATGTGTTTATTAAATTCAAGATATCACACACTTAAAATGAAATTCTTCAGTATTTTTTTGGGAAGATTGACTTATGATTTGATGAAGAGCTGATGAAGAGTCTGAAAAGATAATGTCAAAATCCAGAACCAAAATAATTAAGCTAATAGCTACAAGTACAGGCTGGGAGAGCAAATTTAACAAGGCAGGATGTGCTTATAAAAAATTCAGGGCAAAAAGAAAACACTGCTTTTCAATTTCATTTCCAAATATTACCCTTGATTCAACTTATAGTGTACCAGAGGAGTAGATAAAATTAGTCTTTAAATTAATCTCTTTCCTTACAGAAATGGAGAACAAAATGTTTACTGGTTTGTGGTTCAGCAGTGGTGGCCCTAGGCTTGGCCTCTTTTTAGCCACTGAAATGTATGGAAGTTCTTTCAAGGAACCCACATAATCTGGAAGCAAGAGTGGCAAAATAATGCCACTGAAATTGCCTGTCTTAAAAAGAAAACTAAACAAACCTTAAAAGACTGTTTTCTTGAAGAAGTCAGACCTGGATGGTAGCATTTTAATTGCCGAATTTTCCTAGCTCTAATCATTGGTACCAGATGATGCCTTTAATTCTAAAACACAGTTCAGTATTGCTGGAAAACTGGGAAGATGTTGTGCTGCAGCTGAAGATATGAAACATATTCAGTTCACAAAATGAACTAATGTGTGTTTAAAAACTGCAATTGTTAAAAAGTGGAAAAATACTAAATTCTTGAAACACTATTTGGAAACAAGGTAGCTGCTTGTAGAAAATGGATGCAAAACTTCTGCAGCTTTTGAACAGGAAGAAAGCGAAAATGTGCCTGTATGGCACAGAACTGCCTTTCTTATAAAGCTGCATGAGCATGAAAAAATTAGTGATTTCACCTTTCAAGGAATTAATTTAAAGCACATTTTGCATTATTCTTTTAGCTGTTTAAATGATATTTCATAGTAGCATTATAACAGAACAATATGGATTCTATCAGAGAGATGGAAAAGGAAAACAGTCACGTTCAGAATCAGAAATATAAAGAGAGATTGCAGTTTTCTATGATACACTGTAATATAATCATAAATCCTTGTGCTAATACAGATGAAGTAATTGAAACAGTTGTGATTTTTTGTTTAGTTATTTAGTTAACTTATAAAATAATTTTTGTTTACTGCAATGCATGATGTACAGCAGTATATTTTTTTCTACATTATTCCTGTATTAAAATTAAGCTATTACAAATCATATTTACAGAAATATTTATTGAAAAATAGGCTAAAATATAATTCAAGGAGAAATCTGAAATACCAAAGTTCATGTTTGTTCAGTAGATCAGACCCTGTAATTTATTATTTTTACATTTGACCTCTGTTATCAATTGCTTGAAGTAACTACTGCCATAAATTTTTCAAAATATAAGAAAAAAGAAATTCTGGTATATAAGTAGAATTGAGTCAGGACTTTATTATTTTCTGTGGTAAAAAACAACAACAAAAAACCCTAGTCCACTAGAAATATAAAACTATCAGAATCCACACTATTACACTTAATAGTAGATTTTATTATTCAGTCTTTGTCTATACAGCAAGCACATGACTAAAGGTTACTAGTCTTGAGTCTCCAGTTTCTGTCATTTCCTGCAGGTGACTGCACAGTTTCAAATTTGTGTGATGTATTTTAATAATTTTAGACCTACAGTAGAGGCCCTTTTGCAGTTCTTACAGTTTGTAAAATACTTGCCCATAGCAGTTTCCAACATCAGTTTCCCACCAACAGTGTGATTCGAAGGCCCAATTCTCAGCTCAAGCAAGGTCCAGTGGAACTACTGATTTACCCCAGCTGTAGATTTGAATCTGCTGACATACTGAATAATTGTTGATTCCGATGCAAGTTTCTATGCGTATATTATGAGCATTATAGTATTTGACCCTATGTAGTTCCTGAGTCAGAGCCGTTTAGTTAGCTGAAAAACCCCAAATGTTTACTTCTAGCAGTGCTGCTGAACCATTAACTGTGATTATTATTAAACTGTAGAAAAAAGCCATATGAGTTAGTGTGCTTATTCCCTCACAGAAAAAATGCTAAGACCCCGATTTTAAGATCTACATCGCTACTGACGATTAATGGAAAGTGACAGTCAAAGCTGAAAGAACAAAGCATAATTTTCAAATATCTGACAGAGTATGAAGAACTGGCAAATCTTAAATTCTCTCCCACTGTCAGATATACTTCTATCTGGACTACATTTTGTGCATATTGTAAAATTAACTAAAATACCAAATCATACAGACTTAAGAACACACTGTAATAAAACTGATTCATATCTAGGTGCTGATACTTCTGAATATATTAAGACTATATATATATCTTATCAACATTTAAATCTGCAAGCATCCCATAGGCCAAAGAAAACGAAAAACTAATAAATACGCTGAAAAACCCCATACCTCAGTATGAAATCCTGACCCCTTCTCCAACTAAGTACACACAGTCCAAATACACTGAGAATGCCAAGCTACAGGGGCCCCTCTGTGGGGAAACCTGTATTTCAGTCAGCAGCATCCGTCAGCTAAAACAGAAATGTAGGGACAGATGCTGGAGGAAGGATGACACGTTTAAGTGGTGGCCGACTTTAGAACCAGTGTGTGTTTTTGTGTACAATTAAGTCAATGCCACACGTGTACTAATCCATTATTTTGTCCAGATTTACGTGTGGAACATAACTATCACTCTAGGCTCATTTCAGTGCAAGATTATGGAGCTTGTAGGCTCCCGGTCCTACAGTCCTGTCACATTTCCCGGCAGGGTCACACAGTGAAGGAAAGAACGAGCGCATTGTTACAACTCCCTTGGCTTCTGTGGCAAACATCACACTTGGGCAACGACTGCCAAGTTAAAATCCACAGGTCTTGGCCTGAGGCTTGTTTAGGTAGCGCCGTGCCGGTGCCTCTGGCCGCTGCCACGTTCCCTCCGTTTCAGGAAACCTCTGCATGCGGCGGCGGTCACGTCCGAGGGCTCGGAAAAGCCAGTCGGGAACTGCCGCGTCCCCTCTCTGCCCTTTCGATTAAAAGGGCCCGGGTAGAGGTTTGGGAACTAAAGTCAAATTTCGGTTCGCTCACAAGGGAAGCGCTTTGACACATGTGCTTGCGAGGAGAACGACTGTAGCGGTGTCCAGCAGGGACACGCCTGTCCCTCGGGTACCTGCTCGTGGAGTGCCCCTCACCCCCCATGTGCGCCACCGCGGCGACGGGGCCGCGCCTCCCGAGCCGGCAGCCGCCGCACCCGGGAGGTGGCCGTGCGCTGGCAGTGCCCGCTGGGACAGGTGAGAAATCACTCCACCACCTCCTCGCTCTCCCCGCAGCTCCCAAACCGCTCGGCATAAGCGGCCGGAAACTCCTGCCCGCTTCCCAGGGAAGGGCGGGGGCGCCACCGCCTCGCTCGGGGGGGGGGCGGGGCGCGGGGGCGGTGCCGGCGCCTCGCGCGGCCGTTGGGAAGTGGCATCACGGCGGGCGCGCGCGCCTGCGCGAGGGCGGCGGATTCGAACGGCGGAGAGAGCGAGGGCGGCGGGAGGAAGAGGAACAGGAGCAGGAAGAAGAAGAGCGGAGGAAGATGAGGCGCACGGCGCCCCGCAGCACTTTGCGGAAAATAATAAAGAAATACAAGCCGCAGTTACGCCTGGCGGCGAACGCCGACCTGCTGGTGAGGAGAGAGAGAGAGAGAGAGAGAGAGAGAGAGGGGCGGGGGAGGGGCGAGGCTGGAGGTGCCCCGGGGAGCCCGGGAGCGGTTCTGCTCTTGGCCGTGGCGGTGCTGCGGCTCTACTGGTTGCCTGGGGGCAGCCATCCCTAAGTAGGGACATTTACGCTCTAAATGTTTTGGATGGTGCGCACTGGAGCACTTGGGAGTTGACGGGATGCCAAGTTCCTACTGATGGTGTTTCTGTAGTCACCTACGGGCAGAGGGGAGATGGACTGTTGGTTTGCCTGGTAACATACGGATAAGTAGAGATTGCTGCTCTCTTCTTTGCTGGTGGGTGCTGTATTGTAGGGCTTTGACAGCGAGTTTGGGGATTCAGGGACGGGCTGATGCGTAATTATTGTGTCACTTCACATACACACTGCTGTTCAAAGAGTTTGGTGTAGACAGACCGAGAAATACGAATTTGGCTTACGTGTCTATAACACGCAGATGTTTGTTGTTAATGTAGATCAATTTGGGTGTGCAGGTGGTCAGTTGTGATCAATGAGTGATCAATTGTGATCAACAGCTAAGCTGTTCAGGCATCTTGAATGATCGTATATTTTTTGAAAGCCATCTAAGTAATCTCTGTCCAAAACTAAGGAATGACAAGTCTTGTTGCTAATCTAATAAGATGTGGGGGTCCTGTTCATGGTTTAAAAATGCCTGCCAAAAAGATGTAGAGCCATATCAAACAACTTTCCAAAAACTGAGGCCAACACAGCTAGATTGCTTCTGATTTGCACTGAGAGATTTGTGACACAGGTGGGGTTTGTCTCACCAAGGAATTGACTACACCAAGGATACCTGACCACAAGAGAGTTTGTGGTAGCTGCTATACTGAAAAAAAATTGTGCATGAAAAGGATATTCTTTGAAGTGACTTAATAGGCTTAACTTGCTTGACTGTGTTGCCTTCTTGTTTACAAATGCATGTGATTCTCAGAGCGTTAAAGTGTTAATTGATACTCTGTATTAGCATGGTCCCTGACTTGAATTGTAAGTCCATGTTTCATACGTATATAAAAGTTGTGTCTTGCACCATCTTGAAGGTTGGTATCTGGGTATATGAAGCTAAATATGAACATACAAAATTAAAATAAATAATATGAGATTAATATGAATTAATATAGTAATTGCATGAGAGTATTTAGACTTGAATGTAAACATTAAATATTTCTCTAATTGAGCTAATAAAAATATGATTTCTTCCTACTGTTTTTGTTATCTCTGGAGTTTTTCATGGACTAAGGACCTGGCCCCTTGCTACTTATGCTCAGACCTAATCAGAGCTTATTCAGTGGAACGAAGTAGTCAATTAATCAAACTTACACAATCACCAATACATTTTTTGTAGTCATTGGTAACAATTGGTCTGTGTTTCCAGGGTAATGAAAATTTGGCTTCAAATTAGTGTAGCTGTCTGAAAAGGGGTAAGTGGGACATCCTTCCAAATCTTGGCCTTTGGTTCCCATTTCTTTGTAGTCCTGTCACTAGTGTTCTGTGTGCTGCAACAATCAGTGAATTGAATTGACTGAAACTTATGAACAACAACAATCAGATCTAGCTTAAAATATGGCTAATCAAATGTTCATTCCAACACAAAGGAGGAGATCAGAATAAATTTTAATACTGTAATGGAAACTTAGATTGTCTCTTCTGGTAGTGTCAAATTAAATGGCCTTTAATGTTACAAGGCTTGGCTTTTTTATTTTCTACCTTTAAATAAGAATGTCCAGGTGTGGTTGTTGTCCATAATGTTCTTCAGCTAGGCACATGGCTAACAGCTCTTTAGCTCTTTTTTTCTATGGACAAATAATCAACACAGCTGGAATTTTGCCTTTAAAAAAAAAAAGTATGGAGGAGTTTATTTTGTACTTAGTAGTTAGACAAGTAACAAGTTTTGAGAATATGTTTTCTAGTGTCTCTTATTCTCTGCAAACACTGTAAGAGTGATTAGATTGCATACTTCAGACATTTATATAGTAACTGTCTTAACAAGATGGAACCATGTACATTTTGAGCAGACAGCTTGTGTCTTCTCCAGGGAAGAATGAGAATTCAGTTTCTAGTGTATCTTCCTGAATGATCCATTCTTTATGTTTGAATCTACTGCGGTACTGTCCAGTTCAGTGAGATGGTCTGCCCGCCTGGCTTAGGAGATAATCAGACTGGTTTTTTTTCTGGACCTTCAGTGATTATATTTAGTTGACAAAACCAACATCTTCGTATGTGATCATAACTAACAAGTTTGAAAAACATAAGAATTTAGATAATATTGTTAAATACTTGAATGGGATTTCTTCTTCACTTTTCAGATCTTTTTGATCAAGTCTCCTTTCAAAACGTGAAGGTTTGTCAGAATCTGTTTCCTAAGTGTTAACATCTTTCTCTTTGCACAATGTAGGTATCAAATTTCATCAGCCTTTCTCAGGAAGCTGTTTGGTTTTGTTTTTCTTTTGAAGGAGTATGATAATATCTTTGGGTGAAGAAATATGAATAGTGTTTCAGATTTTTTCAAGGCTCGTTTTGAAAATAAGAGGTAAAGATTTTAGTACTGACGTTCAGATATTCCTCCAATGGTCCGAGAAGAAAATATGCAAACTTTGTTCTAGCTTGAAATTATAGGAGAAAAGCAGGATCTCAGCTGCTTGTTTTATGCTAGAAGGGCATGTATGTATTTTCATTGCAGGAAAAGCTTAAAGTATTGCACTGAATGGCCTCTTTTTTCTTTGTTATCACCACTGAATGATTAATAAGTGTACGTTTAAGGCAAAATATTAGTCTAAAGAATTGTTTTGAAGTTAAGGCAGCAAAATAAAATTACAGAGCTTTTCCCTGCTATTCATTAGTTCTGTTGAGCAGGTGTGTGGAAGTTGCTGTGCAAACAGCGTTGTGAGTTTTTTACAAAGTTATTAAAACTTTGCAACCTTTCTTTTCTGGGAAGTAAGCATTCTGTTTTGTAAGGTGATTTGCATGAGTAGTTAATTCAAAACAGTTTTTAATTTTTATGCACAGGGACAATAATTTCATATGTAGTAAAGCAATGTCTTTGAACAAATATGGTATCACTTAGATACTTGTCAGTAACTGTCCTATTCATGGTATTTAGTCATTCTGCCTTTCATTAGCTTTTCTCAATTGCTTTGAATAACCTGGAATATTTATTAACCTGTGTGCTCTGTTGTGGAATATGTTGTGACTACTGTTTAAATCTATTCGAGTTCAGAGGAAGCTTCTCCATATGCAGCAATTCACTTTGAAAATAGGAAAATAAAAGTAGAGCAATTCTGACAAGACGCAATTTAGAAAGGCAATTAATTTTAAAATTAACACTTGCCTTTAGGTGTCGCAGCAAAAGGACTTGCAAGTATGGAAGCTTTTGTTCCACTTCCCTCTTCTCCCCCACATTATTTCCAGAAATCTAACCATCACATTGATAAGTTTAATAGTGAGAGTTCTAATGCTGAACATTATTTTAGTGCCACTCTGTCAGAGATAATTTCTATGTGAGTTACTAGTTAAAAAGCGGCTTTGATATTTTGCAAAGTAAATCTGCAAGAACATCTGCTTTTTGTGTAGTTGATGCTTCCAAATTATGTCAAATATTACGTAAATTTATCTATTGCATACTGGCTTCATTCAGTTCAGGATATTGAAAAAAATCCCAAATAGCTTGTCCTGTGAATGCTGTTCATATGACAAGAGTCTGTCCTCTAGCAGATTCTTATTGCTGAAAATTCTTTTTTGCTGCAAACCCACTTTATCTGTAACTTTCCATGTTATATCCATGTTTTATTTTTCCAGGCTTTACAGGTCAGGTGCGGCAGAGTAAATACATTGCCTAATTCATGTAAATAAAATTGTCATATATTTTAATAGTATTTTTCTGAGCTCTTTATTGTGAAAGTATTTTTGTACACTTTACATAGCAAAGGTAATGCTGTTTGAAAGTTAAATTTGCAGAAGGTGCAATTATCAATTTTTCTGGTGGGACTGTTAAAATAGTTCACATAATATTTGTATAATGTTAGAGGTTTGTATTATAGGTCCCTGATTACACAGGGGTGCTATTGACTGGTAGTTTTAGTCCAAGTTGGAGCAGTTCCTTCCTTGCCTGCTGAAATTTTTTGCTGCTTCTGTATTAGGAGAACAGAATTCTGTATTGAATGGAATTCTGCCCTACCAGTTCTTCTAATATAAAAAGTCTAAGTAAGTGATGAGCTGGGAAAAAATGGATGGAACCTTCTGACACAGGAGAATTTCTTGTTCTGGAGAAATTAATGTCAATGTCTCTTTGCACTGGAAAGAGGCAGAAGTCTTTGAACTCGTCTGTGGTCCATTTGGCGATAGAGCAGGGATGAATTTGTTGTTCATAAAAGTCTGGCTGTTGTAGTCAGTGAAAGCTGACTATATTCACTGGTAAGCAAAAAGGCTCTTGATTCTCTGATATTTATGTCTACATTTTATTATTAAAAATTGCTAATAAAAATCAGACTTGATTCCTATTAGATCAGTTGTTGTTTGATCATTTCTAAAGCACTTTTACAATTTAAGTATGCTAAACTTAAACTATAAGAGTCTTGCATTAAAGGATGTCTTGGAAATTTACTAAGGCTTGAACTGAGTGATATATTGCTTTTCTGAGAACACCTTTCAGAAATTTGGAAGCAGTCTAATATGCAAATCCTTTGTCCCAAACAATGAACCTCTAAAAAACCAAACTATGCCTGATCAAGTTTAATAATTCTTGATTTTTTTGTTTTTTTCTTCCCTATTTTAAAGGTGCATTTGAACTTCTTACTGTTTCTCCATCGGCTAGCAGAAGAAGCCAGGACAAATGCTTTTGAGAACAAAAGTAAAATAATTAAACCCGAGCACACCATATCTGCCGCGAAGGTATTAAAGGACTTTTAATACTTTTTTTTTTTTGCATAATGTAAAATGTATTATGACAGCATATACAAATATTTTCTGTGTTAAACTTGATATTTTATTTATAATTCAAAATGTGTAGAAACTTAATATTCTTTAATCCATCGCTGGCATAATTCACTGTTACCAAGACATCAAATTATCTTTCCTTGCCCTATTAAGTATAACCTGGGTGGTTTTTATTATTATCATTATTATTATTATTATTCCGTGTTTAAACTCATAGTTTCTATGTATGGGTAAGTCTACAAAGTGGTCTACCAGCAAGCATTCATGGGTTGAAAGCCCCTCCAGAGTTGAGGATCCTTATTTCAGATGATACTACATCAAGGAAGCATGCTGTCTTAACTTCAGTTATGTAAGTGAAGCTTTATGGAACAAGTGAGAAATAGTTCAGAGAGATTCACATATCTTTCTTGCACCTTCAGTTCTTACCTGCTTAGTCTGGAATAAATGTGTAGTGGATGCTTGCAGCATTGTGTGGATACTACTTGAACAAGCAGATACTTTGTGTGATGTTGTGTTTGGCCAGGGAAGAACGAAGGGAGGATTAAACTGTGGATTGCTATATGGGTAATTTAGCATAATAAAAATTGCTGTTTGAATATCTGTGAAGGACGGTGAATTTTGTATACATGCAAAGGAAGGGAAAAAGGAAGGTGTTAAGCAGCTTTCTCTGTCTAGAAAGAATTAGTGTCAAGGTATGACTGGAATCCCTTTGTACTTTGTAGAGCATTTCACTCGCTAGGATATGTCTTGTGTATCTCTTGCAAGTCTGTTTACCTTGGTGTCATGAAGGAACTTGGTCTCTTTAATCTGTTAACTGTTTAACCACTTACTCCTGCTGGGCAAATTGGAAGACCAAAACTTGATGTTATCTAATATTTTGCTCCTTTGGCTTCTGTTTGTTTTCAGTATTTTTTTTCCTCTGGTGAAAGGTTTAGTTTGATACTTTCTATTACTATAGTTACAAAAATATATACAGGATATGTAGGGTAGCCAAGCGAATGTTACAGTTGGAATCTTATGCATTTGTAATTTCTTTTTAACTGCAATCTTAACATTACTTGAACATTTTTGTGCTCCATTTATTTTTTTAAAATGAAAAGAAAGGAAAAAGTGCCTGTATTTTAATAATGTTAACACTTAAACAGTCCCACTTGGGCTTTGAAGTTCATTTTTCAATTTAAACTCTAAACCAAAAAATATCCTTCCAAAGGTCTGTGTGCTCTTGATATAGAAAGAAATAAGGCATTGCAAACACAAATTGAGCATAGTAGCTGTATAATGGCAAACCTTAATTTTTCTTTTTGTCTAGGCCTAACAGGGTAAGAACTTCAAGGAATCTACTGAGGGCTTGAGAGCACTATTACCATTTCTCAGCATTAATTTTTAAAATAAGCCTTTTATTTTACAGAATTTTTGCTTATGAATGTTCTTGCTTAAAAAAAAAATCTCTGATATAAAATCTTTCAGTATGCTTTTGCTTTATTTCTGACGTTTTCCCTAGAGTTTTAGCCTTGGTGACTCAAGCCTTGGAAAAAATTGGCTATGTGAACCTTTGGTCTGAGTAGCCTAGCATTTTGGACCTGAATTGTAGTGATAAAAGCAGTGATAAATATACTTTTTTTCTTTTTGCAGGTTATTTTAAAGAAAAGCAGAGGCTAGAAAACAGACTACTGGAATTTTAAAGCATGTTTTTCCATCTTGTCTTACTAACTTGAGACACTGTGAGCCAGCTTTAGCACTTGTGGAAGTATGCAGTTTTATTGACGTCTATCTCCTGACTCTGAGTATCTTGCTCTTTCTTTAAAAAAAAAAAAATCTTACAATGTATATTTTCATACACTGCACGCATAATTTTAAAGCGAGTGTCACTTGTCACTTAAGACTTTTGATATACTTTATTTCTTTCATAATGATGGAGCAATGCCTGTACCGTACATACTCTTCAGGTACAACATGGCATCTATTATTAGAAGTGTGAAACTTCTAAAGGAGAACAGTAATAAAAAAAAATGCAGGTTTCACAAAATCCATTATAGATTGTGCAGTTCAAAGCAGATTTACTGGTTAAATAAAATCTTGACTTTCAAAATAATCACTGTAGAAGCAAATGTATTAAATATCTTGCCTTTAATTTATTTATAAATGTCTTAATATTTTTAAAATTACTTTGAAAAGTAGGTTAAAACTTCTATGTTCTGGGGAAAGAATACATATTTGGTATTTTAAATCATGCTCTGAACTGTTAAGCTGGCCTATTGTTTGCTGTGGTGTATGAGACAACTTGGTGGTCTGTAATTCAGTTGGTGTGGACAGATGCACAGATTATGGAGAAGAAAAGATCTGGCACAGCTGTTGTTTTTGAAGTTAGATCTTGTAAAAATAACAAAGATAAATTGTCATGAATGCCTAGCTATTTCCTCCCCCCTTTTGAGTGTCATCCTAACTTGTCAGAGGTATGGAAATGTACATTATATAAATATGTCTTCTTAAATTAAGATCATATTCTATTCCTGATATGATACTTGTAACCATTTACTGAACACTTTGCTTAAGGGGTGTTTTAATAAAGTTATAGTTAAATCTCACAGTTTGAGCTGATAATACAGTTTTGTGGAATATGTGGTAGCTGATCCTTCATATGCACAATGAACTATTCTTAAAATAAAGGATCTTTAAAAGTGTTATGTAGTAGTCTAATTTTGTTAAACACCTTACTGAGTACATTCTAGAAACTCAGCAAAAAAGAATTGCATTTAGAAATATTTTAGTAGTCTAAGAAAACTGTAGCAATGCCAGTACTTTTAATTTCATATCATGTCCACGTGCTTTTTAAAATCCTGTGCAGCCTTTGAAAAGTCATTCTTTTCCAGTATGCAGAAATGAAGGATTACTCTTCCACTTAACTCAGAGAGCTTAGTTCAGTGAGCTTCTTTTAAGGGTTGATGAGATTATTCTGCCTTTTCTTCTCTTACTCCCTTGGAATCCACAAAGAAGGCTGAGAACCTACACATGTAGAGGATTTAATAATCTCAAGTACATTATCAGGAATAAGGAAGATCTAAGTATTTATATTTTTCTTTGTAAATACTGTCCGTGATTTAACAATTTTATTGCAACACTAGATTTTCTTTTGTTAGAAATGTTTTCTCCTAATTTTCTCTGAAATATTTTATTATAGTCTTGATTTTCCTGGGAGCAAGATCCACTCTGAGCATAGTGTGGAATATTCTTATTCCCGTGTAGTAGATTGGTGATCAGCTACCATTGGATAAGGGAGGCAATGAAGGGTTAAAACCAACCAGTGTACTTTTAAAATATTTTCTACAGTGGTTTTGGCCTGTATTCATGATTAAGAAGGTGCCCTTTTTTAGGGCACCATTGTTGCTGTTTTGTAATAGCTGAAGAAGGCAGGTATTGAGAAGACCTGGATAGCTTGGCAGGTATTAAGAAGACCTGGATAGCTTGGCAGGTATTCAGGCTTCTCTCTTAAACTTTAAATAAATACTTACTGGAAATTAATGTGCTCGATGTAGTGTGCTTAAGCATTCAGAAATATAAAATGCTATTATGTTTTTCTAGTATCTTCTTGAATGTTCACCATAAAGTTAATTATATTAGTATTTGGCAGCTCTTCTGTACTCCTTCATGTATATACATAGGGTCTCTCCTGTATACAGTACTCCTTACTGGATTTTTAAAATCAAAACTCCGTACAGCAATATTGTCTAAATACCCATGAACACTTCCAATTAATATAAACTTGGAGGCTATAGTAATAATCTATTTCTGTTACCAAATCTCTATTTAATGACAGAGCATCAAAGCACATAGTTCTATAAAGTATTCTTTTAAACCAGATCTGTACTAGAAAGCTTATGAAGTTATGTTCTTTTATTTGAATTCCTGTGTTGATTCTGCTGTTAGGAGGAAAAAGGCAAGGATTACTGAGTGAAGAGTCATGCTGATGCATTTATAAGGTGTCTCTCCTATTCAACCGTTTTCATGAAACCTTGAGAAATTTAGAGTTCTGAAACCATTGAGACAATTCATTCACTATTGAATTTCCTCTGGTTTTAAAGATCAGATTCAAGAGATTTTGGGAAAGAGATGCTCTCTAACAATACAGTTATGACTCCTTGTTTCCTTAGAAAGCAGGACCTAAAAAATTTAAGTAGCTTTAAGACATCCAGTTTTTCCATTTTCTTCTCTTTGCAGGTTTCCCAATGTTCTGTTTTTCATCCTACCCCGCCCTTTTACTATGACCATCAATGAAAGGGGGAAAAGTGAAAATGAAAAAATAGAAGAATTTGGCCAAAGTACTTGTGATGGCCCTTGTCTTGGTTTTTAGCTTTTCACGTAGCTGATGTTAGTCCTTGGGCCAGAGTGGTATCATAACTAATTAATGCACAAAAGAAGGAAAAATGTTTGTTGATCAGCAGGTGACTATGAGGAAAGAGAGTGGTGCTGCTGCTATATTTGTCTGATCTCACTTATGGAGTGACTGATGAAAGGAGATCTGCTGTTTGCCAACTTGAGTAAGTCTTCTGCTGAGGAGTATACTCTATTCCAGCTCTTGTGCTTGCATCATTTTGCTTGCAAGATAAGCAAGCAGAGAAGATAGTTGCGAAATCTTTAAAACTGCATTCATGCCTACTATTGTTTTAATTTGTAGAGCATGTAAGCTTAATATTTTATGAGTAGTATAAATCGCCTGATTATTAGGTTTAAAGCTATTTTAAAAAGTGTGAGCATTAGGAATGGTATGTCAGCAAAGGTTAGATCTGTGGAGAGATTTAGCCATTTTAACTCCTCATGGTGTCAACAGAATAAATGAACTTGTTAACTTTAGTGGGTTAGGAACCTAAATAATCACTGTTCTATTTGAATGTATATACGTCTGCTGTTTTGAGTTAGAAAATCAACACAGGTGCTAGAGAGGGCATTCATGCTGTGGAGTTTCGTTGTGCTTTTTTGTAGAGAAGTGAGGGACTGCTAAAAAAAGAATCTTAGGTTTTGTAATACAAATAGTCAATATTTTCTGTTTATAGTCATACAGTAAAAGAAAAATAAATTCAGAAATATGGATGCTGTAATAGAAAAATTCTTTTTCTAGCCATAAGGTGGGGATAGAGCAAAAACACTCTTTTTTTCCCCTGTGGTAACTTTCCACTATTCGGTTTATTCTTACTAAAAAGTATGCTATAGATTGTGACACTTTCAGATTTTTTTTGAAGACTACCAACCCTACACTGCTGACATATGTAGGGCAATTAATGTTAAAAAAAAAAAATCCCATTCACATCAAACAAGGGTGTTTTGATCCATGCTGAGACAGTAAAAGATACATGAGACTTTGAAGGATCTTGAAGATATTTCTTTATTCAAAGCTCAGTTTCAGTATCATATAGTTTTCTCAATTATAAGTGGTTATTTGTACAACATAGCCTTGTTTTTAGAAACTAGTATGTTCTATGTGGAGTTTTATGAAGGAAATTTTTGTACAAGACATTGCTTATATGGCAACCTTAACTATGAAACCTATCTCTCATATTGGCTGACTTGCTGACTTGGCCTTCTATTAGTAATTTATCAGCTTAGAACAACTAATGATAGGGCACTGTAACTCCTAAATGCACAGGGCTTTGAGGTGATTTATGAGTATATATTTAGAAAGTGTGACTTAAATTTCAAATAAAAGTGCTGATTACAGTAAATCAAAATTCCTTTTTCCAGAGCTGTGAAGTACATGTGACATTCAAGTTCTTTAGAATGTTCTAAGTGCTGTGTGTAGTTGTTTTTCAGTTCAATATCCTATATATTTGTATTGGCATATAGATTCTTTGATATGTTTTAATGGCACTGTACTTGTAGCTGCTGTGGTAGTTTGTTTGGATATGATAAAAGAGCATACTATAACAAATCTCTTACATATTTGAGTAGTTTCAATTCTAGGGTGAGAAGATGCTGGCAGTATTTTTGTTGTGCTAAATACTGAATTGCAACTTTTTTAGTAAGTTGAGGAATCTTTCCACCTGACAGCTCATGGTTTTGCAGACATAATCAGTTGGAATTCATTCATTTACTGTTTGGTGAACGATGTTGAGGGTTTTTCAGTTTCTTGGGCGTCCATAGTCATCAAATTCACATTGGCTTTGGTACATAGTATTCCCCTGTGGGCTGGGTTATTAATGTTATCCTGACCAAACTGCTGAAAGATCTTTTCAGGTTATTTGATACCTGTAAGATCAAGTTTCTTATTGAGAAGGTCACTTTCCTGGGGGAGTGATTTCAGAGCATAGAGAATTTGGTGGAGCGTAGAAAAATGCCTGAACAGCCTTAAAGTAACTTCTGGTTTAAAAAAAAGAAAGTAGACACCATCTTACTAATGGGTAATAACAGGCAATAATGTGACTGCAGCAGTAAAATAAAAGTAAGAACACTTCCTACATGAATGGCTTGCTCTTAACTTCTAGCACTGGGTCAGGCTCTATAGAAACAGACTCCTATTTTGTTTTCTGAGTCTGTAAAAAGAAAGATATATATGATAGATATTTATGTTGGCAATGGGACAGATCCTGAATCAAAAATTATATAGGGCAAACACTTCCACACATCCCTTATGTTGGATTTAAATTGGTATAATTGTATTTGTGCTGACCTCTAAAATTGACAGCCTAATGTAAATTGTTTTCAGTTGTTTAACTTTGGTAGTTAAGTACACACACACATTAGATTATATCACAAATCAGTGTTAATGAGACTGCTGCAAATTTTATAAATAAACCAGAGAAAGGAACACATTTAAGCAACATGTAAGCCAGTTTTTAAAATTCTATTGCATATCTGAAATCTTAGTACAAGCAAGCCTCAAGTCTTAGCC